GCACTCAAAAGAACATTAGAAAGATGTGGCGACCAAGCCAGCTTCCGAACAGCATATTCATGTCCGAGCATAGTCGCCAGCGGGCCCTGTTGTGGGGCACGGATATCAAACGTCCGAATGGCGCGATCCACACCAGCCGTAGCGAGCACCGTAGGACGATACTTATTCCAGTCATGGGTGAGCGCCTCAGCAGGCGGGGTTGGGCCACCAGGCTGGCCGGGGATAGCGGGAGCAGCAGGAGCAGCGTGGATGGGAATTTGAGTGACGAGGTGGTTAGAAGCCGAGGCTGGGGTACGGAGATCGAAGACGCGCACGTAGGAATCTGATGTCACGCATGAAATGAGGTCTGGGTTGTGTGGGCAGAAGGATGCGGAGTAGGTGCAGCTGTGGGTTGGGAGGGTGAGGAGGGACTGTTGGCGATGCGGTGACCAGATGCGCACTGTGCCATCCCAGCTACTTGAGCAGAAGCGGTCTTTTGCGATGAGGTTCCAGTTTACGCTGAAGACTTCGCGCGCGTGTTCTTTCCAGTTCGAGATTGGGAAGTCATTTGCTGTGCAGTCGAATAGTTTGATGCTGCCGTCGCCTGATGCGGCGAGGACTTGGTTTTCGTGCAATTCGGACCAGGCGAGGTCATAGAGGGAGTCTTGTGTGGTGAACCTGGGTGGTTGGGAAATCGCAATGCGTCAGTGTTTGTTCTGGTTGCCCGTGGAAAGATGCCCGGGTTGAGCGCGGGATTTCGGCGTTTCTTTCTTACCATTTTAGAGGTTGGATTCCGTTAGCTGTGAGCTCCAAGATGTGTAGGCGGCCATTGCCAACGAGGCCGAAATTTGACGAGCTTGCAACTGCGAGTCGATTGTCGAAGAACGGGGAGTACTTCACTGCGCAGCCGTTGTACCCTTGTGTGCGGTAGTGGAGCATGATGGCGACTGGCCGGACGATGCCGATCGCTCAGCGGATGAGAGAAGAGCGGAGGAAAACGAGACCGAGCAATCTAGGGTATCAAGACATCAAAGGTGAAGTTGAGTTGATGAGCTCGCGGGATTGCGGGGATCAAATGGACCGAGGTCCGTATTCAGGCATCTTCAGGCATACTTCACGTTCACTTCCACCGATAACATTTTTGTACTTTCGGTATATCAAGTGAGACTGGGGCTAATAGCGATGTAGTTCTATAGAAGAATGCGCTGTGGGTTGATATAGATGGGAATGAGTAATGTATAATTTGTAACATCTTAACTTGTCCAGTCCTAGGGTTATACAATCGCAGCGTCTTTTGGGGGACCTCAACTTATCAATTTGACATGAACAACGCATGTTGATGAGAAGAGGGCTCAAATGCAGCAGCTCATAAATTCCATGTCCACTTCTTTCCAGCAGAGCCTTCAATCCTCACCCACAGCGTGGCAAGACTTGCCGCGAACAAAAGTATGCCAGCAGTATAGGACACTCTCAGATAATTTGATGGATCTGACAGAGCCGACTGCCCAGGAAGCAAAAGACTGGTCAGCGGTGTGCCGAGCAAAGCACCCATACCTCGAATCAGGTAGAGCGCACCATTCACCGAGGTAAAATGCTGCACGCCAAAGAGCTCGATCAGGCTCGCAGGGAACAGCGAGATATAAGCACTTCCAAAGCAACCATATACCACAGCAAACAGAATGAACAACACATCCGCCGCAGTACTCGAGACAGCACCCCCTGCGAAGGTCGAAGGCAACCAAAATGCAAATACGGCAACACTGCTCATGATCGTAGTCAGGAACAGAACGTTCAATCTCCCAAACTTGTCCGCCGCATAACCGATAACAATGCGAGAAACAAAGTTCGCCGCATTGCTAATCGTAATGAAGTTATCCGCCATGCTAACAGTATATCCCAACGACCGCGCATACGCAGCATAGAAAAATAGCGGCGTAGAATACCCCGTCGATTGCAAAAAGCAGCCCAACGCCTGCGAGACGAACTTTTTCGACCGGGCAACCTTCCAATCAACAAACGGCGCCTGGATCCAGCCAATTTTCTTCGATAGACCAGCGGTCTGCCCGGCGACTTTCTCCCCAAACCTAGGCTCCCAACGCAAAGTATACCCAGCCAGCGGGACAAATAGCGCAACAAGACACCCGGAAATACGTAACGCATTCCGAAACCCAATAGCAGATGTAATAGCCCTAAGCACAGGCGGCCAAATCATACCCCCACAAGCAGACCCAGAAATGACAACACCCATAGCCAACCCACGCCGTTTATCAAACCAAGTCGGCGCAACAGACATTGTGGGTACATATGCCATGCACGTCCCCAGTCCAATGAGCAGACCCTGCGTCAACGCGAACTCCCACACGTACTGGCTTAAACTGGCGAGGATGCAGCCGATGCCGAAGACCAGACCGCCGGTCATGATTACTGGCTGGGGGCCGTAGAGCTTTGCCCATGTCATTATGAAGGGTCCGCCCATGGACATTAGTGCTATGGATAGTGTGCCGATTAGACTGATTATTGAGCTTGAGGCTCCGCTGAATGGGGTGTTGGGTTGTTTTGCCATTTCTTCGTATATGGCTTGGTAGACGCCGTAGGAGAAGATTATTGCGCAGGTCATGAACATTGTTATGAAGCCTGCTGCGACGACGAATATTTGACGGCTGGGAGTTCCTTTAGCGTGTGGTTCATGAGCTTGACGGATCTAGGTATACACCGGAGACTCACAGCTTCGTTGGTTTCGGGTGAGTGCGAGTGTTACTCTGTACTGAAATAGACTGCGCAGTGGCCTTGGGCTCAGCACCGACTTGGCCCCCATGATTCTTTTCTCCGTCAGCCATTGCTGCGGTTTATGGCAGCTCTGAGACCCGATGGGAGACGCTGTAGATTTTGCTTGGGGTGTCGGGGCGATCCAAATATCCAGCAGTAGGACGAATCACCGGCTTTCACGCCGAAGCCGATATAGCTTGTTGGACCCCACAGTTGGTTATCTGATCGAAAGATCTCCAGCCAACTTAGTGGCAACTTGCGCTAGATGATGCCGACAGTCCTCTTCGATGTGTCGACACCATGATGCTTTTCTCTCGGCATCTGGTATACTATCCGGGACAAGAAATATCCACCGGCAGTGGAGGTGCAGGCCCGATCCGACTGGGTTGACTTCACATCATGGCAGTACGTGACAGATGTATGAACAAGAGACCAGCTTGTCCTTGAGAATATCAATACAGGTAATATAAAGCTCAACGATGCATAAAACGAAGTAAATCCTCCTGTAGCTATCTGCATCACATGACGCGTACCCCACGTGTCTTTCTTGTCGCAGCGCAAGCTCAAGCTCAAAGCTCCAAACAATTCACCATGGGCCTCCAGCGCGCCAATGTGACAATCATCCACCCGGACCTGGGCATCGGCGGCGCAGAGCGGCTAATCATCGACGTCGCACTAGCCCTCCAGAACCGAGGCCACCGAGTAACGATCTACACCTCCCACCGCGACAAAGCGCACTGCTTCGACGAGGCACGCGATGGAACGCTGGACGTCCGTGTGCGCGGGAACTCCCTCTTCCCCGCCCATGTCTGCGGCCGACTTCACATCCTCATGGCTGCGCTACGCCAGTTGCATCTTACTGTGTCGTTGTTGAGCGAGCTAAGTGGGAAGGGGCATTCGAAGGATGCGGAGGACGACCGGGACGATATCTTCATTGTGGACCAATTACCTGCCTGCGTGCCCTTTTTGAAGTCATTCGGCCGTCCGCGCGAATCGAAACGCCAGCGTATCCTGTTCTACTGTCATTTCCCCGATCAATTGCTCGCCCGGCGAGATGAGGGTGGCTCGCTTCTCCGGCTGGCTAAAGTTCTTTACCGATTTCCGTTTGATTGGTTTGAAGGTTGGGCTATGAGCGCGTCTGATCGGGTCGTTGCAAACTCCAAGTTCTCTCGTGGGGTAGTGAGGGATGTCTTTGGGTCGGAGCGTCTTGGTGATGTGGAGGTGGTGTATCCATGTGTTGATATGGATTTGGGGAACAAATTGCCGGAGAAAACAAAGGAAGATCCTCTATGGAACGGGAAGAAGATTCTGCTTAGTATTAATCGCTTTGAGCGCAAGAAGGATATGGCATTAGCGATTCGCGCTTATAATGGTCTTGGACCGGAGAAGAGGAAAGGGACACGGTTGGTGATTGCTGGTGAGTTCTTCTCTATGGCTATCTTGTATTCTCTAACAACCATTCTACACAGGCGGCTACGACAATCGTGTCAACGAGAATGTTCAATATCACCAGGAGCTGGATAAGCTCGCGACCAGTCTTGGGTTGAAGACCGCCACCTCCAAGACAGTCGTATCTGCTCTCTCTATCCCAGACGACATTGATGTCCTGTTTCTGCTTTCTGTTCCTGGCGCATTCAAAGATACCCTGCTGGAGCAATCCAAGCTCCTTCTATACACTCCGATTAACGAACACTTTGGCATCGTGCCTGTCGAAGCAATGCGAGTTGGTCTCCCAGTGCTGGCATCGAACACTGGTGGTCCACTGGAGACGATTGTCGAGGGCGAAACGGGCTGGCTCCGGGATGCTCATGCGGACGATGAATGGACTGCCGTGATTGACAAGGCTCTTTACGGCTTGAGTCCCAAGGATGTTAAGCGCATGGCTGCAGCAGGCAAGATCAGGGCCGAACAGGAATTCTCTCTTACTGCTATGGGCGACAGGTTAGAAGAGGAGATTTCCACTATGCTTACGGCGGACAGACGGCCCTTTAATGGGTGGCAGCAGGTCTTTGCTATGCTAGCTCTGGTTGGTGCTATTTTGGCAGTAATTGCTGCAATTCTGTTTCGAGCGATGTAAATCTTAGTTCCAAATCAATCATACCCCTTTGCTTGCAACATCTCAAATACTTTTCTTTCTCACATCTCCCTGCACATTTATAGATGGTCACCTGACCTCGTGTTTCTTTCGCGGTGACGTCGCGTCCCCCTCGTCTTGCTCCATCACATCACCCGCCCTGGTGGCATTGGGACTCGAAATGCCTGAATACATAGACCTCATATCCTCCGATCCTCCCGATTCCACAAAACGCCCACAACCGCAACAGTCAGGCGAACTTCCATCGCGGCGTCCATCCTACCAGCTCAACCCGATTTCGTCAGACCCATTCGATTCGTCACTGTTCAACTACGATGATGTTGTCTTCGACAAGCCCGCCAAAAAGCGGAGGGTAAGTGAAGAAGCTACTTCATCGCTAGGCCAAACTAGCAAAGCGAAAGAACCCCGAGCTCCAGCATCTGCAGCGGACCCGTGGTTTGCCATCTCCGACGATGATTTCGACCTGCCGCCATTGGACGCCGCGGCGCAGAAAAAGCCATCTCAGTCGCGCATTGAAGAGTCCGATCCAATCGTTTTCACGTCTCCGGCTCCAGGCCCTATACCCAAACTTCCGGCGTCGCGCAATCCGAAGAACCCGAGTCGCGGTGATTTTGCCCTCGATGACGATGACATTTTGGACTTGGACAAACTCCCTCCGTCGAGCCTAAGAGGACGCAGTGATATTGAGGAATTTAGTGATCCTTTTGCTTTGCCGGAATTTGTCGACCTATTGGATCAGTCCGAACTTCATCAAGCGAAGAGTGCTTCTAATCCTCTATTCTCCTCGGCAACTGCTCGTCTTCTTGCTGGAATCGGCAATGACGGTTCGAACGCAGCCCCTGGCTCTCGAAAGTCGAAGGGCAGCGGCCAGTCTACGGCTACGGACATCTACCTTGATGATATTGATGAGCCCGTAGCTCCTCGGAAACCAGCGAAGAAGACAAGCAAAGTTGACCCCGCCGATAAGGAAGCCAAGGCGCGAGCACGGGTGGAAGCCAAGTTGCAGAAAGAGCGAGATCGCGAAATGGAAAAAGAGCGCAAACAGAAGCTTAAGGAGGACAAGGCGAAAGAGAAGCAACGGGCTGCCGATGTCGCAAGCGTTAACAAACTCAAAGTGAACAAGAAAGACTCCACGCCAGAGATGATCATTGACATAGCGACTTCTTTTGAGGATAGCAGTGTGGGAACTCAGACCATCGAGTTCATGAAACGACTCGGCGTCCAGCAGACATTTTTTGCGAGCCCAATTCCCAATGTAATCAAATGGCGCCGCAAAATGAATGCCACATACAACAGGGTTGCACGACACTGGGAACCATGTCCAGCATTTATCCAAAAAGAAAACCATGTCCTGTGCCTCGTGCCTGCGCAAGATTTCATCGACATGATCACCCCAACACCAATCGGCGAAGAGAGAGAATCACTAGAGCAGCACGTTCTCCGACTCAAAGCCGTCTATTCAGACTGCAAACCAATATACCTAATCGAAGGATTGACAGCGCTAATGCGCAAGAACCGCAACGCGCGAAACAGAGCATTCCAAGCCGAAGTCCTGCGCCAATACTCAGAAACTGCCGCACCAGAGCCTACGACAACCACAGGTCGAGGCCGCGGACGGAAAACAAAGAAAATCACAGACCCTGCAACCCTCATAGATGATGAGTCTGTCGAAGATGCTCTCCTCGAGCTACAAGTGACGCACTCCTGCCTCATCCACCACACAACTGCGCCCCCCGACTCAGCAGAATGGATCAAGAATTTCACAGAGCACATCTCGACAGTTCCGTACCGTCGAGAACGCCAGGAAGCACACAATGCTGCGTTTTGCATGGACGTCGGACAGGTCAAGTCTGGCGTAGACAAGCATGACACCTTCGTCAAGATGATGCAGGAGGTTAATCGCATTACTGCTCCTATGGCATATGGTATTGCCGGTCAGTACCCCTGCGTCACGGATTTGGTTCGTGGTATGCGCATGCATGGTAATATGATGTTGGAGGATATCAAGGTGGGTTTCCTCATCTGTCTCTTTATCATCTTTGGGTTTGGATCAGCTTACTCACTATGCTTTTTTCTTTCTTTCTAGAAATCCGCGAACAAGAATGGTTCGTTGACGAATGCGCGTATTGGGCCCGCTGCCAGTAGACGTTTGTACAAAGTCTTTACAGGTTTAGATCCTAGTTCGACGGATGTCTAGTTTTGGTTTTGGTCGGTAGACCTTGTGATTATTTTGGTATTCTTGGAGTTTGGAATTAGCTGGTTAAAGGAGTACCTTGGGTTTGCATGCACTTGGGCGCGGGTTTATGTTTTGGCGATCGGTTTACACTCGTGTATCCATTGGAGGAGACTTGGACCTTGAAATGGCCTTGAATACATTCACTATCCTCATTTGGAGGCAAGTTGGATATTCTTGGAATGGTTACGTTACATGCCCGAGAGATCCTGTCACCACCCTCAATACAAGTTTTGTTGACGCAGGGCCATATTGCAATCCAGAAATAAATGAACCATGCAGGAATCGCTTTGTTGAAAATCTAGCAATGTGACAATAGTGTCAAACGTATACCCCGCTGAAAGTGCCCATGTCCATCAAGCTAAACGCAAACCAAAGACAACCAGTATATAGAAAGCAACACCAACACCGAAAAATCCAACAAAATCCTCAATCAACTCAGACTCACATCTAATAAGAAACCAAAACTACCAAACCATCTAAACCACAACACCCCTCCTCTTCCACCCCCTCCAAGCAACCAACCAAGCCCCAACAGCAACCCAAACACTAACCGTACACCCAACAGCCCAGAACCCATAACAGCGCCAGCCATGACACTGCCCATCCGGCAAACCCCCACCGGCACCGTGATCAACAGCACTCTGATAAGCGGTCGAATAGACAACGCCCCAAAGCGCCGCGCCAACAGCAGGCATCATAGCAACAATGCCCCAATTCGTGGCGAAGTTCTCCACGCCCCAGACGACGGAGATGATGATTGGTGCTAGGGAGAAGGCACTGCCGTAGCCGAAGCCTATTAGGGCTGTTGTTAGATTGAACAGGCCTGGGTGGGAGAGGGAAAGGGGGGAGGCTAGGAGGAGATAGCCTAGTGAGAGGAGGAGGGCTGAGGGGAGGAGGAAGGTCATTCGGGAGAAGGTTAGGGTGTTGGACTGGGTGGCGGATGCTGGGTGTCTGTGTCGGGCTGCTTCGGGGATTGGGGGGAAGAGGTGGGTTGCTGGTGGTGCGAAGAAGTCTGAGAGGGAGCCTGTGAGGAGACGGGCGATTGTTGAGGTTAGGGCTATTGTTGTGACGTGTGTGGAGGGGGAGCCGGCTGGTGGGGAGGCGCCGGCTGGGTAGGATTGTGGTGTGAGAGTTGGGATGATTGTGCCCAGCTATTTATATTGCGTTAGTCTGGGTTTGTGTTCGGTGACTTGAGAGGAGACTTACGTTGTTGATGTATGACTCTCCTGGTCCAGTAACCAGGAAGAAGCCGGCAGCCAACCACCACATTGTCTGATCTTTGAGGAAGACTCTAGTCTCATAATTGAGCAGCCAGTTCTTCTTTCGGCGCTCTTCTTCTTCGCGCTCCTTCTCCAGTTGTCTCTGTTCGCGCTCTTCATCAGACAGAGCCTGGGATTGCTCCTCGTCAAAGGCATCAGAGAACGTGCCATATTCAACCGCAGCTCTGATTTCACCACGAGGCCGGAAGAAATCACTTTCCTCCAGCAATCCACTGCGCTCCAGTTCCTCCACCGTCTCATCAATATACTGATCATCCTCCTCGACAATTTGCAAAGCAAAGGTACCGACAATACCAATACCCAGCAACAACAGCGCCAGGAAGACGAAGTACCTGAAGACATCAAGATCACCATGCGTCCCATCATCAAGCTTCTCATAGAATAAATATGTCCCAACCTGACTCTGCCACATGCCACTAAGTCCAAACGCCGCAATGGGAACAGCAAGCATGATCCCCTTATGCTTCCCACGACCAAAATTCTTAGCACAGGTCGCCACAGCAGCAAGATACATGCAGCTAGTTCCCATACCAATAGCAATAAATGCCACGATCATAACCCAGAACGGCCATCCAGACCCACCAGCCTCAACAGGCGGGCCGCTCTTGTATGCGTATCCAGCGAGGAGATACCCGAACCCGAATACAATTCCAGAAAACAGAGATAACGGCGACGGACTGTATCGATCACACAAGTACCCGAACAACGGGACGGGGAGATACATCGCAATCTCGGCAGCGATGGAAACAGCATTAACCTGAAGCTGGGAGTAATGCAACCGCGTAAGCAGTAAATGGCCGTATAACGAGAATGCAGTAATACTGCCAGCTCCAAGACTAAACCAGCGAAAGGGAAAAGAGACGTTAGCGCCTAGCACTCAGTACAATGCAAGAGACCAAAAAAAGAAGAAGAGAGAGAATCCCATACCAAGTAACAACCCCCCAAGCAAAGCTCCCAACCCTAACAACCTCAACATGCATCATCCTCCTATCTCGCTCAACAATTTCGTCGACGACATCACTTAAAAGCCCATCATCACTCCGCATGCCGATTCCATCATCGCCCGAACTCCGCGATCCAGCCCGTAACCGCGCAGGAGCAAGATCGTGTCTCCGATCACCGGTATCTGGTTCGGCGTCTATATCTTGTAGGAGGGGGCGATTCGCGTCGAAATCGCGCTTGTCGATGGCATTGTTGGGACTCGGCATTATGTTTGCCCTTTGCCTCTTTTCTTCCTCTCCGCACCGGGACGCGGGGGCCTAGGCTGTGGTGCGGATTAGGGTGGTTTGGGGGCGAGGAGGTTGTGATAAGGGGTGTAAAGTGTGAGATGTGGAATCTGGGGTTTGTATTATGGGCTGGGGGTGTCTGAAGGTGCAGGACAGGGGGTCGGATGCTCCGGGGGTGCCGGGTGAGCACGCTTAATGCCTGGCGACTTGGGTGATTGAGCTTGGGGAGCGGGGAGAGTCAGCTGGGCGGATCCGTTGTGTGTTGTTCGTACTACGTCATTGGGTGTCGGGTCCGACCACAGGGTAATGTTCACTGGGGGTGTTAGGTATGTTGACTTGCTCGAACTGAAAGCTGTCGCAGCTTCGAGGTTCTGAGTCAAGGAGGATGAGGAAGCCCCGAGGTTCAAAGCGGAGAAAGTTGGAGTCATTCCACGTGACTCACTACAGTATAGATCTATGCGGGGATAAAGACAATTCGTTTTCTAAGGATGTACACCATGGGCCCTGGATGCAAAGGAGACAAAAAAGACTTGGGACATTGGGGGTATTATCAATATCAATAAAACAAGACCGAGGAATGAAGTTGACAAATGAAGTTGACAAAGCTCAAGGGGAATAGTTCATACACATCCGAGAAAGAGAAACCGAAGCTCCAAAAGAAAAGGGCAACAGAGAAAGGAACCACAATCTCATAGGCATCCAAGCATTGGCATGTATCGTAGAAGCATCCGGGGTCGTTAGTCGTAGGTTTTCGCCGATCAGGCGAGGTCAGGCACTGGTGCATAATATGTCGACGCTCCAAATTTGGGAAGAGAAATAGTCTATCCCCCGAACGCCACGTGTCGGCACTGGGCCGATGTCACAAATGACAGAGGAGAATGAAGAGAATTCGGAGGTTAGAAACTGACTGCGCCCGCGTCACTTTCCATCATCGTCTCGTCCCAATACTGGTCGGAGGGTAGTTCGCGCACGGCGGGCTGAGATCCCAATGCAATGGCTTCGCCTTCTCCTCGCTCGACAAATTCATCTTGCGTGGTCTCCTTCATGATCCGCTGGAAATACATTCGGAGTGTGCGAAGGCCGCGCAGGTAGCCACGATCAATGTCGTGCGGGCTGTGAGGTGGACAGGGTGTATCCGGTGGGAGTTCGTCCTCGCCCGTGACGCAATTGGCGAAATCGACAATCTTCAACTGAACGTCTGCTTTTTTGTGGCCATCGTCGGACATACCGCGCTTCAAAGGTGATGGTTCACCGGTACTGCGCGGGGGCCCTTGATGAGGTGTTTGTTGCTCCCCATCATAGAGAATCAAGAGGCTGCTTGCGTAAAGACGGTAAGAGTCCAGCTGTCGAATCATATTTTCCAACAGAGCCAGCTTCTCCAGGATGACTGGGATCTTCTTGGCCACACTGGCATAACTGATGCCGTCGTAAAGGAAGCGGGTGAGAGCATCCTGGAATTCGCGACCAGATTTCAAATCTCGTCCGAAGTACTTGTCTTCAAAGATGTACTCCTGCTTCTTGACGTTCCACGCTTGCATGCCACAGAGTCGCACTCCTAATTGTTGGGATGTGGTGGACTGGCATTTGCGTCGCTGTGACTTCTTTTTCTTTTCATTTGCCTCAATACCATACTGTCGAGTACCCATCTTCAAGTCCAGCACACAAGGCTTGTTCATCCCTGCAGTCAGATCCTCGAGGAGAAGGAAGAATTGTACTCGTTCATCTTTTCTCAACTGTGCCTCTTTGGGGTTACTGGGCAACATAGTGGTAATGCTGGTCATTCGTTGGGGATCAGATGGGTCAGACACTCTCGCTGCTGCTGCAGATTCAAGCGCACGGCGTCCACTGGCTGGATTCCTTTCATGTTCTGGTGGAGCCAGATGTTTTGCGACCGGGGAGGGGTTCGAAGGCATGGAGGCATCGGCTTCCATGGAAAAGATATCATCTTCTTTGTCGCCACCATAACCTTCGTCATCAAAGAAGACAAGCTCACCATCCTTACGGGAGTTGATGCTGCCGCGCCTCTGAAGGCCACTTCCAGAATGCCGGCGCCGTACTCGATGGGAGGCCCGAGACAAAGAGCTTGCTCGGTTGGGCTCCTCCTCTGTTCGAACATTCTCCAACCGGTTTTGATTAGCATCCAGGGCAGTGGATGCGGACGAGGAAAGAGCAGGTCCCTCCGTAGCGGGAGGGACGATATCAATTGCGTCCGTCTTCAGCGCTTGTATGGCTCCCAGCATCGGTCGCCGAGGACTAGGCGTATGGTCCTCGGACGTGTTTTCTCGTCGAGGGGGGAAGTCGCTGCTGGCTCGAGGCAGGTGACGATGACCCCGAGCATGCCGGCGATGGTGGTGGATAGCAGGAGGGCTGAAAACCTCACGAAGAACCTGCTCTTGGAGCTTCTGGTTGACGGTGGTGGCGCCCCAAATCTTAGCTCTCTTGCTCAGAGCAGATGGGTCAGACTCGGTTGACATAGCCTCGAGGCCGTCCATCGATCGGGCACGGCTCACCACTGAATCATCCGCTGTCCGCGGGCGCTGCGTTCGGGAGAACAAATCGGCAGGGATAATGTGGCGATTGTTTTCAAGGACGACCTTGGGAATGATACCTGTTACTTGCGACTGGCTGAAAATTCGCTGCGGCTCTGCCGCCTCGCGAAGTTGAGAGCTGAGCACCGAAGACCCATTCGCTGGTGTTACATCCTGAACTTTGCCCCCAGTAGAGTTGACCTGATCCTTTGGTTTTTTGGATGTCTTCGAGAACGTAACATTCAGCACCCCAATGTATCTATAACGAGGGATCAGTACAAGGCACACACGCAGTGGTTGGCGTCGGGGATTTTACGTACTTTGGAAGAAACATTAACATATCAGGGTGTCTCTGCTCAATGCGTTCATAAAACTCATTCTCTCGGTTGTTAAGTTGCTTGCACACAGCGCGTCTGGAGAATCGAAATACGGTTGTGTGCCCGCCAACCTGGTGCCGGTAAGGCTTCAGTTCCACAGCGCCAAGAGGCCCTTGATGTTTGGGGGATTTCCGACGAGACAGAAGCCCTGTACGCTGGATTGGTGTCGCTGTGGGTGTCTCCGCGTCATCTGTCAGACTGGATTCCTCTGGAATAGAGGGTGTACTTTCATCGGCGGAAGGGGGTTCAGATTCACTTATTGAATCATAGCTGCGTTCAGAGATGGTAGTCAAAGGCTTTTCTGGCACATTCTCGTGAAGATCGCCATGTAGGATCCTATTTTCATGGTTAGATAGGAAGGCAATATCCACATGGCTGATCTCTTTTTCAGGAGAATCGCTACGGTCTGAAACTAACATCAGCTCATGGCCTTTCTCGGCCGACAACTGAACCGGCTGTACATCATGAGGACGTTCTGGGTATGACTGCAGTTCATCGATTTCTTCAGTCACAGTGCGCTCGTGAGGAAAATAAACGGCAGAAGAAATCTGCTCATTCTCCTCTTCATCGGCCTCGAATCGCCCTGACCCGCGACGTTCCTCTTCGAAAGAGGTGGACGGAGACAGGTCAACATGAGGCTCCTTTTGAAAATAATCACGACTGCGTTCTGAATACTGAGTCGGAATGCTTTTGGAGAAAGATGACCCTCGGCCTCCGCCGCCGGGAGTAAGATGGAAGTTTCGAATCTCTTCTAGGAGGCTGCGAGGTAGCGCTGTCGGGCGACGCTTGTGTGGTTCATCTTCTTGGGTGTTCTGAGATGGTTCGGGTGCAGATAGAGGCTCAAAAGCCGGACCATCGCCAAGCACCGGGAGGGAAATGCTTTTACGCAGCACAGCTTCCTCTTCGGGTCGTGGATGTTCGTGGTCAAAGTCCATGGCGTGATCTGCCGATTCCTCTGGCTCATCCTGCCGGCCGCGATCCTCCCATCGTTTCCGATCTGGTGACGTGGTGTTCTCTTTGAACAGACCCAAGTAGTGGCTGGACTTGCGGCTGCGCACGTTAGAAGCCGGCTCTGAGTTGGTCAGATTGGCTTCAATTGAGTTATCAACTCGACTATGGCGACCTCTACTCGGGCTTCGTTCAGGACCCGCAGGGGGAAGGGTTTCTTTTTGAGGACTGTAGGATAAAAATTCCTGACTGACCTGAGAGCCCTCGTGGCGAGGGGACAAGAGAGTCAAAGAGTGAGAGGTACGAGGTACATCGTTTAAAGCAGACGGGAGCAATATGCGTCCGGGCAAAGTCCCTTGAGAACGGCTGGTCTTCGTACCTGTATCATCCAAAGGTCCTTTGTCTCGCTGAGATCCACCCAGGTGATCATGTGGTCCTGCCTCAGTCACCGGTTTCTGCACCTGATCGGCCGACGAGATGGACGAGCGAAGAAGAGATAACCTCGGGACATCGGAAGAGGAGAAGAGAGAGGAGGAACGCAATGGGTATTGTCTGCGGACGTCAACTTCCATGTGGGAAGGGCCGACGCTAGAACGGTGGGGAGAGACCTTGGGGAATGCACCTGGCGACACGGAGGCATCATCGAGGCTAGGAATCAAATTGACCTGGCCATTGTCTGCTTTTTCGGGAGGCAACTGTGGGGTATTTGCGCCGCTATCTGAGGGGAGGTAATGGGTTGCGAAGATACTGTCACGTTCTGACAGTTGGGGACGGTACACAATATCGGGATGCGCAGTATTCTCCAAGGGTGTGGTTAGGGTCCTTTTTAGAGTGAAATTAGATACGGGCTGCGACCACGAATGGGCCGAGGGGGATTCTGCCCGCGATGGCGACGGCGCCTCTCGAGTCCCCTGGGACAAGTGCTGACCCTGCCGCGAGTGGTGACGTGGGTCGCGCTCTGAGCAATCATGTTGGGCAAGTGTAGCAGGTGTCACCAGGGGATTAGGCAAGGTATCATCGGGAACGGACGGCGAATTTGACATGGAGAGGACATTGGTCAAGGATCGGGGATATGGGGAGCGGAGACCAGGGGGGGTGTGGTTGGGCTGGGAGAGGAGGATTGGGCTAGAAGGACAATGCGCTGGGAAGTCCGGAAGAGTTAGAAGAGATATCGCTCCCAGGCCCGAGAGAGCACGTTCGGGGGGGAAGAGATCTTACAGGTTGACCTTGACCGCAAATCGGAGGTAGAGGGAGAGAGAGATAAAGAGATGAAGAATGATCGTCACCGCCCTGAGTGGATCTTAAAGATGAAGAGAGAAGAAAGAGAAGAGGTGGAGATAGAAGGGATGAAGTCAGAGGTTTGCCTCTTTTCCAAGTTTGCACTTTTCCTTGAACCACTACTCATTTTTGTGTCACTAAATTCGAATCCTTGTCGCATTGTTCTACACTCTAGTACTAGGGTCCCTAAGTTCATAACTTAGCTTCATTCTTTCTACAAAGTATATCTAACTCTGTGGGAATTGACTTCTAGAACTGGAGATCTTAGAATGATCTCGAAAGAGATCCAGTTACGCTGCTTGCTCAAGCCGAATGCTGTCTCCTCTGCATCGGATTTGCCAGGTTCTAGTTTATGGTTACGGGGGAGCTTTTAAGGGAGGACAGGGTTTGGTTGTTATGATACTTATGCAGGATCGTCTACCAATCACTGAGCTTTGATAGACGGCGTGCAGTCCTGGTGGGAGTTTATAGGATTCCCCATATCTCCAAGGTTATGTAGATCACTTCAAGCTGCTTAAAGAATGAGAAAGCTCCAAGGGATCAGTGGAGTCTGGGGCATTTAAGCTAAAGCATTTAAGCTAAACGCACTAAGTATGAAACAGTCTTCTTTAGATCTTTAGCCCTACGCCTCAGCCTCTCTTGGCTTGGGATGCTTCTTGAGCCCCTACAAAAAAGCAAATGGCCTACCGTGGCCTACTGTGGCCTACTATGGCCTACTACGGCCTACTATGGCCAAGATGAAGCCCTGCTCTACTGTAGGTCTCAAAGTTGCTGCCTGCTTGGCTTTGTATTTGTCAATTGTCTATCTCTCAAGCGCCGTGTAACCAGAACATGGGATACCAGGGGGGACAAAGGTTGAAGATATATCTTGTCAGGTGGATGGAGGTATAGATCTGGGATTGCGGGAATAGTGTCAACCACAACCATAGGGTTATTTTCAACCCCTAAGACCAGTCAACAACTGCCCCCAACCAACAGCGGTTGTGTGTGATTGTGATGGAAAAAGGTGATCTGACGCACAACGGGAGGCGCCGGGCGGGTCCCAGTCCAACCAGAGCGCCCAGCGATGTGAAGCTGATGCATTAGGGCCAAAAGTCCCTTGTCTGAGAAACAGAAAAGAGAGCTTTGAAGCCACTCAGATCACTGTATCCCCAGCTCTGACTTTTGTACGCCCCGCCCACCAGGCTCCTATCACTCATACCAGTTCGACTTCTAGTTTAATGCCGGCTTCCTTCCACCATGCGCGTCTGTTCACATTTGAGACTGCACTGGCGACTTATATGTTGCATTTCCTGTCGATCGGTCGCATGTCGTCTAGTAGCGCGCCAACTTCCCCCCAACGCCGGTTCCCAGGGGAAAGCTTTTGAGTCGCATGTTCTCCGATTTGGCTTGTTCAACTGGACATAACTCGCACGTTCAAGCAAATTTATTTTACTACGTTCATCGTTCATCTACAACATCCTGGACAATCTGGGTAATATCCTATTTATCGCTGGCTGTTGCACGATCATAGGAGCGTTCGAACCCTCAAAATGAGTCGCTTAAACTTGGACACCTCGGTCGGTGGCAACCATAACCAACGGTATTCATTCATGGAAACACCACTGGAAATGCATGTTTCGCCTGATGAAAGGGACCTAAGGTCTCCTTCCCCGTTGCCAGACTCGAAAGACTCCAAATCCCCGCAGCATCCCACTGGAGAACGGAGACCGCAACAGCAATCATATGCACTGAGTGAGAAGGAACAACAGCTCCAGCACCAGGGAATAATCCCAGACTATGCCAACTGTCCACCACCTGAAGCGCATCCAGCGCACTATGCCCCATTTGCGAATGCATCTCAACATCAGCAGCAAGGCCCTCAAGCGACTTCGCCCTATATGAACCCGTCACATATATCTCAACAACATGGGATGCCTATGTCTCCAACGTACGCCCATATGCATGGACAACAACAGAATACCCAGATACCCTCTCAGTCATATGCGCACCGGTCGTATACAAGCATACAGGAGCATCCAGCCATGCCTATGTCTCCCCAGTCATACTTCACCATCCACGAGCACCAGCAGAGTGCCATCCAGATGTCCCCGCAGTCATACACAAATCTACCTGGACAACAGCAGCAAGATGTTCAAATCCAACCCCAAACATATCCAGCCGAGCCATACACCATAACCGAGCAACAGAGCCGCGACATCCAAATGTCACCTCAATATGCCTCATACACCAACCCACCCAGTTCACCACCCCAACACTCCCCAGGGCCCCTACCATTGAAAGTAAACCCAGACGCGCCAACCCGAAGCGATACAATGATCGTCGCACCAGACGCAAACCCACTACAATCACCCAAGCTGCCTTCTTTCCCGCCTCCCACCCGGGCAGCGACGACACATGCGCCCGTTGAAGATCTCAGCGATTACCACCAGCCAGGCCAGATAATGCATCCAAACCAGGAGGTACGGGGCGGGGGATGGAGTAACGGACTTTGCGAATTCTCAAATTTCGGAATTTGTTGTTTGGGACTCATCTGTCCTTGCATTTTATATGGAAGGACGCAGCATCGACTCGCGATGAAATCGAGGAAAGAAGATCCGACTAATATGCTCGCTTATGAGACTTGTAACGGGTCATGTACTGGTATGGGATTGCTCTGTGGATGTCAATGTAAGTTCATTCTCACCTTGGACTATGTATGCACGGTGGTCCGCATGAAGGAAGACAAAGTCCATTTCGCTAAAGTATCACCTTAGGGTTGCTGGCAACAATTCAGCACACAAGAACAAGGAAGGCCTATGGAATCCAGGGTGATATTGCATCGGATTGTGTGCGGGCAACCTGCTGCACATGTTGCACGTTGATCCAGAATGAGAAGGAGATTCTCAAGCGTGAAGGGCACCGGGCTCGTGCTGCCAGGGAACACGGAGCTACTTTGATGTCGCCGTATACTGCGCCAGGACCGATGACTTATGGTCCTCCTCCGAAATAGGTCATCATGATGGGGTATTTTATGATATCGAGCTTGTGTATATAGTTCATGCATTGTGATATAACAGCGTTGGGTCACTCAATTGACTTGTCGAGATATACACCCAATCGCATGATCGCACGATCGCACGATCGGACGATCGGACAAACCAGTCAACCGGGTCAACCCTGATCAGCCTCGATGCCCAGGTGACCCGAGACCAGGGCGATGGGCCCATGCGCCACGACGATCTAGTGGCGTTGTACAATCTTGCTATGCCGATCGTTGATAATCCCCCGCATGATGACCGTCAAAATCACCATGGTTGTATGCAAGGTTTGCATCGGGGGTGGGCCGTACATATGCAAGTTACAGCTGGCAACTCATGTTCTATATTTGCTATATAGTACATGATGCATCGAGTCGCGAGTGTGGCAAACAGGGTGGTATCCTAGTGGCTGTTTAATTATGGAATTCTCATCTCCGGCAAGTTTGGTTGTTTATTCTTTCGTGTGTTTGCCCGGTGAAGGGTTTGACTAGGAGAGATCACGGACGTTGATCATCCGCTAAGATGTAAGGATAGGATAGATCTATTACTTGCCTCGTTTTTGACCCTGGCTACAATTATTATTTCAGAGTCGAGATTTAATATAGTTACAAAATGAGCTTATGCATATAAGACATGTATATTATCTCTTCTTTGCTTTTGGTTCGCCTCTTGAAATTGCCTGCTGTATATGTTGGATCTTGGATCTTTCATTGCGCTAGTCTCGGAGCTTCCACTTCTTTCACTGGCTTCAGGAACTGGCCTTTATTTTATCGGCGATATGGCCGATTCTGTGGCCCAGACTGAGCATGGCTATGACCATGTCAGCTGTGTAGGTGCATTTTAACTCTAACATCCAAGCGGATTAGGTTTTCGTTATCTTTTGCTTTCTACTATATACTTTTCTTCTGTGATGCATCAGTTTGGGAGTAATTTCCATTGTCAATTCTGGCTGTTAGTAGTCCTATAAAGTACACAATCAATAACATTTCAAGATTAAGACGTTTATTTTATGCCAGCATCTATAGTTGTCTCTACATTGGCGCAGTGAAAATTTGTGTTTTGATGTGCAGATGGACATCTGGCCAAAACGGAAAGTGTAGCACGATGACATGGCATTGTATCGGTTCTTTATTCCTCCCTGTCACTATTATGGGTTTGTCACAATGCCTTCGTGCACCAATCCCCAGCGCGGTAAAGTCGACATCGCTTTGTTACCACACACCTCTGTTGTACCGGCTAATCTTTGTCTCGAATAGAAGTGAATTCATACATATCTTGAGAAAGAGATTGTGATTTATTTCGAGGGACATAGAATTGGTGGAGCGTTCTTCATTGTGTTCTTTATCAGACTATTCTCTCATGTCTTTGAGATAATCTGTTGGTGTTGGTCGCACAAAGTATATATTACTCGCAACCCAACATGTCGAGCTCTTATTACCAGAAAACCTTCATTTGATCATCCGTCTAGTCTCATACCCGATAATTAACGTTATTTACAAACATTAGATCTCTCAAGCTGTCCACCTTTATGACATTATTCTCCAAGCTCACCAAAAGTCAAGAGGAGCGTCCCCTTCAACCAGAGAGTCCGCCTATCAAATACAAATTAGCAATGCCGTACATCGAGCCAATCAAACGGATGAGATGGCAAGATGCTTACGGGCATGAGTGTCGAATCTTCAAACATGAACTCTCAGAATTATCGCGCACCCTGAGATATGACCCAAAACAACTCGGATTCGATCGCATCGATATTGTCTGCAAACGACTGATGGCCCTCTCCTTCCAGATACAGCGAGTTCTAGAAGCCGCAAATGGCATGTTTGAAGAAAATGCGGACAGTAATTATGTCCGGCGGGCACCGCCTGGATGGTTCGTTGACAGAGTTGAGGATGCCGAGATTGAGATCCAGTGTTCTATATTGGAATATAATTTATGTAAGAAGGCAGAGCAACTTCGAGAGGATCATTCCATGGACCTGATGGTAGCTGCGTATCTTGAGACGATGATGGAAGATTTCGAGAAGGACTTTGGTGTTTAATTCTACATGAATATATACTTTTTTTCTTACAGATTTTTGATATGTCTGAATATCTGTAACCCCACGCACACGTTAGTTAGAGCAGTTAGGCTGCTCATCAAAAGCCGCGTGCAGTCTCTTGCGGTAGGCGATCCCACGTCGTTGATGCTCGACGCATCCAAAGGCGTTGGGCTGAGTACTTGTGTAGATCTCTAGGCATGGGCCTAGTTCTGTGATACCAAAGAGATACGCAACAATAGAGTCATAATTATCAGGCTATATAGGGACCTTGATGATTCTCTTCCGGCTCATTGAATTCGCGAGCTTTAGATAGTTTCCCAAGGATGACGGGGGTACCCTCGTAGTCTAGGTACTACCGCTGATGCCATTCGGGACTTTCATCATCACGCCGGGCGGTCTGTGCTGTTCTGGCCATGACTCTGGAACTGTTTAGAGATTGTCAGTGAGAGATATGTCCATGAAACTTGCCTGTGGTCTACAGCTTGTGGGCCGGCTGGGCCCGTTGACCGTCAACTGGCGACCGGGCGGGCTCACTAACCTGATAGGCTAAGGAACCTCCCGCTACAATGTTTATTCGATCAAGAACTGGGTCTTGAGCGTCAAACTTAAGATTGGCGGCCTATTGGGCATTGAAATCCCCCCAATTCAATAGAATTTAGCAGTGCGAGTCGATCAGTCATGAACTGGGAAGTAATCCACGCAATGCCCCACTGGCCCTTGCTCAAGACGCACAGCCCAATTCGGAAGCCGGGAAACGGCCCCAGGACGCCGATACCGATTCCATCGGCGAGTCGATCTCCTCGGTAGAAACGCACGATGATCAAGATGCCCTGGGAAAGACATTGACGGCTCGCGCCTCACAGACCCCACATATGTCCTTGTCAGAACGAGTGACTACTACTGTGCAGCCCAACATGCGCACAATAGGGGGATCGTCGATGACCAGATTCAGGTGCTCCCAAGTTGGACCTCGGACATTATTAGGCAGTATTTTCCGACGAACGCGTCCGTATTGTACAAGCTCAATCACTTGTTTCAGACAGGTTCACCGGCTCCACTGTCTCTAGTGGTTCCACCCCTGTTCTCTTCACCATTCTAGTTTGGCCCAGGTCATTTGGACCCTATCTGACGCTACGGTCTAATGCGTTTACGTATAAGTCCGCAGTGACAGGTGACTCGTTGCGGCCGAACTATACACATATTGTCCCTCTTGACTGCGTGAGGTCACCAATATTAATTAATTAGCGGTTTGGTTGAGACACTCGTATTTAACTTAATATACTTAGTGGTGGGGTGGCGGCTCGGGGGCGGCTCGGTAGTACCTATTTGAGGCTCCTCCTGAATTTTCTTTTTGAGGGAATTGAATTATCCGACTAGGATAAAATCAGTTGACAGTTCAGAGGCAACACAAAGGGCAGCCATACTGACATAACTCGTGTCGAAGGGTTTCATCGCCCGTAATGCCTCGATGATCATTTCAACAAGTTATCCACCGTGTCTGGCTCATAAGTTCGTAAAGATGCTTCCGAATAAATCGACTTGCTCTGGATATTCGTAATGACATAATCTAATTGGGCGTCAGAAGGGAAGAGCGGACGCGAGGTAAAGGCGGTTGAGTGGCCAAAATTTCTAGGTCAGCCCGGAGCCTTGTCTATTATTACTTTATACTAGGAGTCTTTCCCCCTCTTATTTTTCCAGGCTTCGAGTCAACGACTGACTACTCTCGCCAGTGATCTCCAAATAAGTCCTGGTTGATATCTTTGAACCGAGAGCAGACCCTCTCTTACTGTGACGGGTCCCTTGCAGTTCGAATTCGGGCTCGTTTGCTGATCTCTTTTGGAGTCCCTGCGACGACGGCCCTGTTGATCCGGCTCCTGATGCGGCGTACTTGGACCTTTGGCTGTGTCCCTTCAGGAGTCCGTACAGGACGGGAGCGTTGGCGACGATAGCGGCAGCGAGTAACTCAATGGACGCCCAAGTCGTTCTATTCACTTGTGCAGTGGGATTCTTGGCGTTTTGAGGTAGTCTAGCGATGGTGATTGCCACGATAAAGAGGCCGACGGCGAAGAGGACCGCTAGCTGGAGTTTTCTGGAGGAGAGAACACGTCAACGAGATGCATATGGTGATATAGGTCGGGCCAAGCTTACTCAACAGTGGATCGTTTAACCAGAACCAGAATTGGGATCGGCAAGGCGATAAGCATAAGATCGGTGATGACATTGAGGACACCTGAGGAAATCAAAATGTTAGAGGTATTATATTGTAACGATCTTCCCGACAGAATGCATACCGAGGACGATCAATTGGAGCTGTGCCTGACAGCATATGCCTGTATTGGTTACAAGGTCAACGACCACGAAAGGTAAAATTAAAATGAAGATGAAAGAGGGAGGGAAATACCAGGATCCGGCAATACGATCCAGTAATGGTTGAATGGATCGCATTCCGTGAAAGTCACAATCTGTACAGTTACATACGTCGCTGCGAATATACCAATGTATGAGATCATCGTGGCTTTCTCCCAGCGAAGGTGCCTGAGCAGTCTGCGGTAGGTATCAAGCAGAACCAACTTTTGCAACCAGAGACTAAAAGAAATATGAGAAAAGAATAACCAGACGACCCTGCATTCCGTTAACTCCAGGACGTACTAGGAATTATAGAACACTCGATTCGTGAGCACAAATTTGCTCGCGATCTCTCTGCGACGGATCTCCTCCGGGGTGAAATGGTGCGTATGTCTGAACGTGGTAGACATATTGTTGGTTCCCCAGATGAGAATAACATGGACCAAGGCGAGGCGTACGAGCGCACAGAGAATCGCCCCCATTGCGAAATAATCGCCCAGGACGAACTTCAATCCTTTCACCTTCCGTAGCAGCAGCCGAAGAACAATCAAGCCGATTGCCATCCAGGTAAACACCCAAAGAATGATGAGGGTGGAATCCATGGCTTCTAAGGGCAGTCTCAGAGTCCCAAAGAAGGAAAGGAAAGAGAAAAAAGGAAAAAGAGTGACAGAAACAAGGCTGAGACGGGGACGAACTATATCAAAAATTGACGGGTAGAGAACTTTCCAATAACCATTTTCCAGGCATTATTTCACAATGGAAAGAAATCCAAAATCTAAGAATTCATCTAATTTACTAACTAGCTTTTAGAAAGAGGCGCAAGCGAATTTCAAGGTTCACTTGGCAAAGTCTAACACTTCGTTTCGTGGGGGCCAAAAAGACAAGATTGAAGCCAGACCCGCGGAGGAAATTCGGCAAAACCACTGAAACTCCAGTTGATTTTGATTAGCCAATTCTACATAAGTTGACCCCTGATTAACTTTGTCCTTGTTTCATTGTTTGTCCCTTGCCATTCCTTCAGCAAGATGCATGTGAAGACAGGATTATTATTGATCGCCTGGGCAATTGCTGCTGTGGCTTCAGGCTGGCGCGGTGAGGTGCCAGCCCAGCGATCGTACATGTATGTTGGAGGACAATATATTCTGAATGGTGCTGGCCAGCATGTCTTCGCGGATCAGATGTACGTGGAAAAACTGACTCCGGCCGCGGGTGTTACCAAGCCGTATCCAATTGTCTTTATCCATGGACAAGCTCAAACAGGCACCGTACGTATCAGTGAAGAATCATTCTCGCCCTTCCCAGAGGCTAACCGCGATGCTGGCAGAATTGGCTCAACAAGCCTGACGGAGGGGAAGGCTGGGCCTCTTACTTTCTCTCTCAAGGATATGCATGCTATATTATCGACCAAACCTTCCGCGGCCGCAGTGCCTGGTTCCCTGGCAATGGGACGCTGAGCACCTACAGCGCCGAGCTGTTGCAGCAGCGCTTCACTGCGCCGAAGCTGTACAACCTCTGGCCGCAGGCGTCCCTGCATACCCAATGGAACGGGACGGGCGTCATGGGCGACCCGAATTTCGACACTTACTATTCCTCGACGGTCGAGTTCCTCAGTTCATCAACCTACCAGCAGTCGACCGTGCAGGCCGCCAGCGCCGCCCTGCTCGACATCATTGGATCCCCCGTCATCCTCCTCTCCCACTCCCAGGGCGGATGTATGCCCTGGCTCATTGCGGATGTGCGCCCGGATCTCGTTCACTCCATCGTCTCGATCGAACCCACCGGCCCTCCCTTCCAGGACGCCGTCTTCAGTAACTCTTCCACGCGCGCCTACGGGCTTACCGATATCCCAATTACCTACTCGCCCGCCGTGGCCGCCCCGGGCGACCTCGTGAAGCACGTTATCCCTTCTAACTCGTCGCTGTACTCCGACTGCGTAATCCAGGCCGATTCACCCGCACCGAGACAGCTCGTCAATCTCGCCCATGTGCCCGTCCTGGTCGTGACGACCGAATCGTCTTACCATGCGCCGTATGACTGGTGCACAGTCAAGTTTCTGCAACAGGCAGGCGTTCCAGCGCAACATCTCCAGCTGGCGGATGTCGGCATCCACGGAAATGGACATATGGTGTTCATGGAGAAGAATAGTTTGCAAGTTGCTGCTGTTCTGCAGAAGTGGATGGAGGGGAAGTAATTTGTGGGATGCAAAACTTTGTTTGTTTGGCCAAAGCTGAATCTTCAATCATTTTCCTTCGCTACACTACCTGGTCTGTCAAAGCATGTGGTTCTTCTGGAACGTGCTCAGACTTCGAAGCGAGAGCTCGTGCCTCCACCTCATATTCAAGTTGCTGAAGCGCTCTTTGTACTACGTCTTCCGCGGCGCTCTTTCTTCAGCCCTTCGCCCCAGGCTATCTTGGTCAGATAGGGCGAGTAATTGTTCAGGCTGCGTAGGTTGCTTGTGAGGATTCTGCTCCTGTTATTTTCTCTTGGGTTCTAGCAGTGGGAGGTAGCTCCTATTCTTCAATCGAGGTTGTCTCACTCCCTGCAGATTCCTGACAAGTTGGACATGGGTTCGGATATTAAGAGAAACCTCCTGGTGGCGGCGTGGTTCCAGTTTTATCCATGCCAATTCAAACGTTCAGACTCGCTCGACAAGGAAGATTCATACTAGAAGAAAGGGTACACGATAGGGACGTTTTCCCCGGTCTCCGGTAAGTCAATGCAGTAAACAATGAACGAGTTTGGTTCGGGATTGTCTCGGATAACTCAGTTTGCATAGGGTCCGTTGATATTTCTCCGGATAGAAGGCTCGTTTGCTCTGTTTGTGATCAGTGGTATGGTCTTGTTTAACTTGTATCTGTTGGCTCACTGCTTTCTCCGAATGGGAAGCTGATACGCTCTCTTCGTCACTATTGGTCAAATGGACCAACAATGATTCTGCGATACATACGCGTAGCCAAATAATGCGCAGAAAGATGGAAAGCTGCTTCAGTTCATGAGGGATCCGGAAACGGCCCCCCATAAACGAGAATGAACAGACTAACACAAAGCCTTGACAAGTTCCTGTAGGATTGCCCTCGGTTCCTGCCAACTCCAAATTTGGCGGTTGGCACTTGGCAATCCAATGGAACTCTCCGTCCGGCAAAACTCAAGTAATGAGATAGTTGCGTTTGAGGACCCGCCATGTTAGAAGTCTGACATGCCGTGGGCCTTGACAAGCTGCCCTAGTTGCAAGACAAGCATGCTTAACTTCCCGTCCTCTGTAATGGAAAACTCCTTATTTAAAAGCCAGCGCCTCATGATGGCATGCATTTCCGCGCATATAGAGTTCTGGAATCGACGGAGAACCTATAGACCCGCGTAGATCTCAGCGAACCTAAGTTGTTGTGGGCCTTGGGCAAGCGTAAAAAGGCGTTGACACTCGCTGTGCAGGCCTCGAAATACGATTATAAGAATAGCCTTCTATGGGGGCCTGTTTGTTCGTACGAATTATCATCAAATCTATCGCATGTTAGCCTTCAGCTCTAACTTAACGACATCATGACACGCTTCTTACCACTGGGGACTGGATAGAGACCTAGCCTGAACACGCATATTGTTCTTATCTTTGACTCCCGGGAAATAGAAACAGATAAGGGTCAAATAGCGCCCACATATGGTTGCAGTTCTCAATGTCTGGAGGGGTAACAGGCGGCAGTGGATTTCTGCCGACGGGCGGGTAATGTCACGGCCTAGTAGAGGGCGCTAGTCGGCAGTGACTGCTTACTCGGTGGCTACAGTGTCTCGATAACGTTATATGAGAATGTAGATCGTAGCAGACGACCCTCCCACACCTCAACAATGAAACACAATTGGATCCTAGATAAGCGATCTCCTCCCCCTTTCGTTGCGCCAAGATAGCTAAATCCGCGCCCTAAACTCACCACCACATGACTGATTGGTATGTGCAATGAAGACTAACTTTCGGCAAAGGACACGTTTAAGGGTTCTTTCCCCTCTTCCTTCTCTCCTTTGTCCCCGCCCGACTCTTCGAAGATGCGTGGACTGGATGAAAGCACCGAAGTTCTGTTGCGCACTGGCCAGAAAGCCCAGGAGCAAGTGAGACACGTCTGGGATGGCTTTGTTAATTTTGCAGCGCGGGACAACGTCCTAGAGGTCGCGTTAGGTTTGATGTTAGTCGTTCGATAAATCAACTGACTTGAAATTATCTTGTCTAGGAAAGCCTTGCTAACATACAGTTGTCACCGATAGCATCGCAAATGCATTTACAAAAGTCGTGACATCTTTCGTATCCGATTTGATCTTGCCGATCGTCTCCCTTCTTCCGTTCCTCAACAGGAACATGGACCAGAAGTTTGCCGTTCTCTCCAAAGGTCCTAACTTCAGTCATGAGATAGGGTACAATACCCTCAGCCAGGCGAGAGATGATGGGGCACTGGTTCTTGCCTATGGGTATGGTACCTCTGACGTCGGATAATCGATTCCTGTTGTTTCTAATATGACTTTATACAGAATGTTTATCGAGACACTTCTCAACTTTATGGGTGTCAGTCTAACTCTTTATGCGGTTGGGCATTTGTACATGTTCATTTTTCACAACAAGATCATCAAGCGGACCGTTCAGTGTCCGTATTGCAAACAGTACATCAGCGATGCGGTAAGTTGTTTAATTTCAATATATTGGCATCCTAGAACTATGACTGATAATGTTGTGTTATGCAAGGCGATTCGGTGCCGCCACTGCTCGACATGGCAGGATGGAAGGGAAGATGAGCCCAAGAGTGATAGTGATCATTCCGAGCAATTATTGACAGTGCCATCAGTGCCATGATCGACTCTGGGATTTTATTTCCTGGAGATTGTGGATCCATAGATGCTTTAGATTGACTGTGGCTTGCTAAGGTTATAATTCTTTAATCTATAAACCCAGAATAAGAATAACAAACTCCCATCCCTCACAAGTCAAACATAATATAAAACAAGAACCCCTTTACCCGCATGTAAATGACAGAAATGCAATAAATCATAAATCATAGCAATCAACCAAATCTCTAAAACCCACAAAACTTCCAAATCAACCTTTCAGTGGCACCGAATAAGGAACAACCTCCTCCGAATCGGACCTGACCAAGAACGGCTGCAGCTCACTAGGATACCAAACAGCAAAAGAAACCATAGCAATAAACATAGGCAAAGCATCCAAAACATAAGTCGCCCACTCATGACCCAACAAATACCCATCATTCCCCAAACCATACTCAATAACTCGGAAAACCGAGCGAACAAGAATCATAGCACTGACCCCGTAAAGACTATACAAATGCTTCTTCCAAGGAACATCACCCTGCACAGCCGCCTGAGTCGGATTCACTCCCATACGTCTCTCAAAGACAACAGCCGTAGTAAGGAATAAAACAAATGTAATAATCTGCAATATCAACCCAGCAAGAAGGATATTCTGTCCCATCTTGGCCAGACTACTCTGGGCCATAAGACCGGCCCCACCTCCCTGGATGAAGAAGGTGAGTATATCGCAAGTGACAAATATTTTTGTGACGAGGTTGATACGGATCGGGGAGTATTTTTCGCCGTTGACGCTGCGGATTATACGGGCGAGGACCATGTAGACTGCCGCGGCGAAGAGGGTTGGGGCGAGGAGGACGAAGACGCTTTGGATTATGAATGGTATTAGTTTGCCGGTTTGGTTTGTGCAGGCTGCTCGGGCGGCGTAGCCGACTAATTCGACTATTGGGGTTGGGTGTGTTAGTATGGTTATGGTAATGGTAGGGTTGTTGATAGGATGGGATGGACTTTGGCAGATGGGAGGGAACTTACATAGTCCGCCAATTGCGAATGGGATGGTAAATCGGACTTTTGTTTTGAATAGCTTCCAGAAATGGAATGCTGTGATGGCGGAGAAGATGATTGTGAAGATCACGGATGCTGCTATTGAGGGGACATAATGCCAGACGTAGTAGCCACTTTTTAATGGCTCTAACTTGGCCATTTTCAATGTCGACGTTGTAAGACTGGAAGTATATAGTAGCCTTTCCGAAATAAGGTAGTAGACTCGATATGAGGTTGGGAGTTTGGAAATGAATGAATTGAAGTAAATGTAATTAGTGAAAGAAGAGGGCCCAAACTTATAGGCAAAAGCAGGCTTCCAGGCCTTTATGATTTAGCACCATTTTAGTTCTATTGGCGAACCCCTGGAGGCGCAGTAGCTTCAGAATTTTAATATAGCTCGGTTATACTGGATACGCGTATAGACATCTGCTTTGAACGGATACGGATACGGGTGGTCTGTGCATACGCGTATAGATGGACATCAATTTTTTAAGCACTTACGCGAGACTTATTGCGGCAGCTTGGATCATTCACTAAGTATTCCAATGGATTGATACAAAGTAAAAAAGGTTAAACATGCAATTTGGTACAGAGATTGAAATATTTATTAGATGTACAAGAAATCTATGGCATAGCTATCTAGGGTACCAGTATCCAAATGTCTATACTTCTAGACAGTATAGTATTCAAAGTCAATCAGATCTTGTGCCCCCACGTCCTCGCTGTTGCGACGGGAAGTTCGACGAGTCGCATCCTTAAACGCCTTGCCACCGGACCAAACAATATCCCAAACCGATGGCTTCCTTAGCAAACTGTTGGTACCGAGCATGCCGAAGCGGAAATCAAGGGGCGCTTGATTAACACCGGGATCAGATGGCAGCCGCAAAAAGTAGCGAACGCTGTCTGGGATCTCTTCGGGCACATGGCTGATCACAAGCAATGACTGCTCTTGCGTGAGGCCGTTGAAACGGTACGTTGGCTTTGCGTTACGTTGGACTGCTAGACGTGCGCCGCGAGGCCTCTCGCCGCAGTCGATGAAATCTATGCATTTATCACGTTGCGTAGCAGAGAGTCCGGAAAAGGCCTCGTCGAGAATGACAATGTCGGGCCTGTGGACGAGGGCCCGGATGAAGAGCACGATGCGCTGTTGCGCGGTTGTGAGTTCGCCGAACCGGATATCGTCTGCGTAGTCGCAATGGTGTTCAGGTGGGACATATCCTCTCTTGGAACCGACTTGAGAAGGTTTTGGAATTTTTGGGAACATCTCGGTGCTAACTTCTGGAATCTCACTCTTCGCAGCGGCCGGGTCAAGCTCGGGTTGGAAATGTTTCAGGACTGCATTGACATCTAGGTCAAGTTCGGAGTTCAACTTCGGTTTCGAGAGGAAGGTCTCAGCGAAAGCCGATTCGACCGCTTGGCGGACTGTCAATTGCCGAGGGAAAAAGGCATGGATTTCTGGTGATGAGTGACCGATGCGGGACTGCAGTTCGAAAATTGAAATTCCTGGCTTGCCAGGCTCCGGAAGCCTAGATCGTCCAAAGATCTTGACAGGCTGCGCATAAGTTTGTGGATGGTCGGAAGTAATCATTGAGACAAGAGTTGTCTTGCCGGATCCGTTGGCACCGATAATGGCCCAGCGTTGTCCACGGCGAACCCGCCAGTGCAAACCGTCAACTGTTTTATTTTTCACTTCCTGTGTCCAATTTCCGAGCACTGCTTTTTCACCATACTGAACACGGACGCCCTCCATCTCTATAATGGGTTCGCCACCGAGATACGTTGCTGATTCCCGTGGGTAGGTAGTGTTTACTCCGTTTGTCAAGCTTTGGAGTAAATCTGCATCCAAGAAACCGGCTTCCATGTCTGTTTTCATTTTCTGAAACGCAACATTTTGGTCGTACGTAAAAGTTAATGGTGCAAATGAGTCAGAGAAGTGACTCCAGACTTTAAGGGTTTCATCGACCTCCGACTTTGGACCTTGTAAAAGGGCTCGGTGGTTGTTTCCCAGGATCATCGTATGCGTGATCCATTGGGGGACCTTGTCCTGTGGGCGCAGAGCCAGGATGAGACGCGGTGATTGTCTTTCCGCAAGGTTGTGGAGCAGACCCGAAATGCTCCTAGTCGTCGCAGGATCCAGCCCCACTGCATGGTGGTTAGAATACAAGAAACTTAGATAAGGATCAAAATCACTTACTGAATGGCTCATCAAGAAGTAATACCTCCGGCCTTCTCAGCAAAGCTTTGGCAATTCGTGCTCGACGGGTTTGGCCGTTGCTTAAATTCGCGACTGGCATATCCAGCAATTTCTGGAGATGTAGATGGGTCATGATCTGCTTGAAAAACTGTTCATGGGGTACCAGGCCAGCATTCTCACCCTCCATGGGATTCAAGGAGGTCTGCCCCCGCAAGTACTGCTCAACAGTCCAATCGGTCTCCTCCCGGTAGCTCTCATAGCGCGCACTCAGGTATGCGCCACGGGTGCCGCCAATAGCCTCTGATCCCTCTCCGCTGAAGCCAATATATCGAATCGCATTCGATACGTATCGTAGACGTGGGTCTTTCGCGGCGACCTTGTCCAGGAGAAGGTATGGATATGAGCGCGCATTGGCCGGAAGGCAGACGTCCAGGCCACGGAGGATGTGCAGGAGGTCGGTTTTTTCAGACGGACCGATTATCGCCCAGTGCTGTAGACCTGCGCCCTCTTCTTTGGGTGTGCGTTCGGAGGGCAGTGTAAAGTTCAAGTTGGGGAAAAGAGGAGGATTGGGGGTGTCTTCGACGTCGGTGGGGTAGCGCTTGTAGAAAGTTCCATTTTCGATGCGAATGACTGGCGCAGAAGATACAAATCGGGTCGAACGAAAGGAAGCCAGGCGCAGGACCCTGGGCCTCAACGTTGTTCGTAGCACCATCGTCGGACGAACAATCAGAGATGACTCGGAGTTACGGCGATAACATTGCTCTGGCACGTGACCAATATCTACAGTCTATATCTCGGATTATACAACACTTTGGTCTAGAAACATAGACAACTCAACGTATTTATTTGCACAAAGCAATTCGCCTAATAGAACAGAATCTGCAATTTGCTGCGATTTGTTTACTGGCCACGTGATCCCACAACCTGCTCTCACTCCAGGGCAGGTACCAACCTTGGAAGATGTCGAGATATTCCCAGTCATAGAATTAGAAGTCAGTCTGTTATAGTAAAGAAGTATAAAGCCATCTCTCCAATATCAACTAGAATAATACCAAGTCAAATCTGTTCACGTGACCATCGGATCTCATCGCATCCGAAAATGTTCCCCGGGCCGAGAGCTTCGTCGGATCTGCGTGGGGAAGTGTATGTTTGAATAGTTGAACAAGTTTCTATTAGATTTGCAGCTGTAGTCATAGTTGTATTATATGGGGGAAAATCATCTCAGGTCGTATGTATCAGTGATCCCTGTGTTCGTATTGTGGAAAATCAATCTTTATATCCCATTTCCGCTATAGTTGAGCCGACGCGCGGGTGTGGCGACCCGACGGCCAGTTCCTCGGGACCCGAACATTATCATATATAACAACGTGAACTGAACTTTCTTTTCAGTTTTTGCTGTTTGCTTCTACCCATCCGCTCTTCTACGCAACCACCTGATCAGATATCAAAAGTGGCCGCCAAACTACGTCATACATCTCAACATTGAACTTGTGACAGAACATGGCGGGCACCAGATATTCCCCGGTCCTCGAGACCAGTCGCATCTTCTCCGATCTTTGTGAGCAAGCTGAACGCTTTGACTTGCCACCAGAGGTCCTCGCGAACAAGGATCGCGTATCTTTCTCAACCAGCCATAATGAGATCTACTTCCCCATTCCATTCAAAGAAACCGAGACCCTTGCCGCGCTGAAGGGTATCGAGGGTTCTGTCGCAGCTGCTATTGCAGATCTCCGCTTTGGTGCCGGTGCATCGCCTCGTGGCGTCCAGGTCAGCCTTGAAGGCGCAACTGCCTTTGGATGCCAAGCGTACATGGCCAAGGTAGCCGGCCTGTCAAAGTTGGACCCCAATGTGAAGTCGAAGCTCAAGAGTGCGTATTATACATCATTCGCTTCGCAGTATCTGATATTAATTGGTAGATAGACACCGACCTGTTGTCTGCGCAGTCTAACGGCTACCGCCGCATGTCGGCTAACCTGTACAAGACCAAGAACCCAGGAGAGTTCTTCCATATTCATGGATCTCTGGAGGCTACGACCACTTTGAATATGATTGGGCTCGAAGGCGAGCGGCCAGATTTGACTGACTACGAAGAGATCATCAAAGTCATCGAGGAGAAGGTGCAGAAATACACAGCCTCTGAGCTTGAGGTGATGAACAAGGAGAAACGTCAGGCTGGTGTAACTGCCTACAAACACGAAGACTTTATCAAGACGCCCCATGTAAGTTTGGCTTGATGTGGAGTCAATATTAGTGCGCTAATGGTCATATAGGGGAAACTCAATGTCCAAGAGCCGGCATGGAAGGTCAGCCGTCTGCCAGGCAACCTTTCCCCAACTCCATTCCCCAAAGCTCCAAGCGACAATAAGAAGATTCTTAAGGGCGTCAAGGTGCTGGAGATGTGCCGTATCATCGCAGGCCCAACTGTTACCCGTATTCTCGCCGAGTACGGTGCCGACGTCCTGAAGATTACTAGCCCTAGCCTTTCGGATGTGCCTTTCTTCCAGGTTGACGGCAACATGGGCAAGCATGCAGCAGACCTTGATCTGAAGACTGAGGCCGGACGCAAGGAGTTCGAGAAGCTCCTGGACGATGTCGATGTCATCGTAGATGGTTACCGCCCTGGAGCTCTGGACAAGCTCGGATACGGAGCAGAGGCCATGGCAGCTTTGGCGGAGAAGCGCGGCAAGGGCATCGTCTACGTGAACGAGAACTGCTTTGGATACGAAGGCGAATGGGCTGACCGAGCCGGATGGCAACAGATTGCCGACTGCGTACGTTACCATTATCATAGACAACCCCCAAAAGCAAAGAGCGCAGCAAATCTAACCTGAAACACAGGTCACCGGTATCGCCTGGGCCCAAGGCAAATTTATGGGCCTCTCGACCCCCGTCGTGCCCCCTTTCCCAATCTCCGACTATGGAACCGGCTGCATGGGCGCCATCGCCGCCCTAACCGGTCTCTACCACCGCGCCAAAACCGGCGGTTCATACCACGGCAAAGCCTCCCTGATGCACTATGACCTCCTCCTCTTCGCCATGGGCCAGTATCCCGACCACGTACAAGAGGAGCTGCGCTCGGTGCAGTCTGCTGATTTCTTCAAGTTGCGCCATTGTGATAGCGTTGATCGTATTTCTTCGACTGTGTTGAAGAGCATGCATGAGCGTTTCCCTCACTTGTACTTGCCTGCTGGTCATGAGAGTGAGGGTCGCAAACCTCTTACCGAATTGTGGTCTTCTGCTGCGTATGGTGCAGATGTTGAAGTTGTTAAGCCTGTTGCTGTTATTGGGGGTGTGGATAACCAGTTTGTGCGGTCTAGTCGTCCTAATGGGAGTGATCGTGCTACTTGGGAAGACTTTAATGTTGCTGAGGGGGATGTTAAAAAGGCATAAGTGTTTTGCCATTCGTTCCTATTCTTTCCTGCTTGATTGCATAGAATGCATTGTACATAGTCACGGCTAGCCTAGATATCAAATCTTACGACATTCTTTTTCAAGTGTTCTTCTCTGCGAAGTATATGGAAACAAGTTTCTAAAACATCTCTAATTTTTGGCGGAATGAACGTAAAAAAAAGGGCTGCTCATGAAGTGCACCACTTGCTGAGCTCGTATGCTATATAAAAAGGCCAAACCCACAGCCTCGAAGTTCCCCAAGTCTATAAAATCTATAAAAACCAGTCATCGCAAACTGAAACCTGAAAATCACCACCCTTTCCAAGGAATCCATGTCTCCCTCACAATATCATCCCCATCAACAACATAATAAGCAAAATGCATAGCAGCAGTAATACAAGCATGCTGGATATAAAGCAGAACCTTATCGCCAACCGTAAACGCACTCTCAATCTTCTCCCCTTCACTCGATTTCGACCCAACCTTCTCAACAAATCTACTCGTCTGATTGGAATCCGCCCAGCCGAGTATTCCATGCTCTTGCGCCATACGCACAACACTCCATTGGGGCCGATCAGTGACAACCGCGTACCCAGGGAACTCACTTGTTTCTTTCGAGAGAGCTACCGTTCCCGCGTTGATGAGGGCTTCGTTACGTTCTGGGTAGATGCTGCAGACATCCGCTAGGATTCGGACTGCCTGTTGGGTCGGTTCGACAAGGGAGGTTGCTACTTGCTGGAGGTCGTTGGCTGGGTAGTTTCCTACACGATATGGTTAACTTATTTCCTTTCAACAGTCTTTCAAACGTACCAGCATGCAATTCCAACTCCATCCCCTCAGGCAAAACTCCCTGCAACCTCCTAACAACGTGCGCCGTAGGCGTCGATCCAACAGAAACAACGATCTTCCTCTCAGACTTCCCACCAACCAAGAATCTCGCCGCACTAACAACACCCTCCACTTCAGTCTGCAGTACAGCAGTAGCTGCATCTTCCGTGCGACACGCATAAGAGTGACCAGCATGACAGTAGAAACCATGAACAGAAGCCGAAGACGAAGATTCAATGCGCTGAATCAATTTCGGTAGCGAGGGTGAATCATTAACCATTCCCGCGCGCTTGGAACCGACATCGATCTTAATAAAGACCGGCCATGCCACGGTCGAAGATGATTTAGAAGCGAATGAGTCGAGCAGATCTATTTGTTGCTCGCTGTCGATCATGAGGATGATTTTGAGGCTCTTTGTTAAATCTTGGAGGTGGGGGAGGGCGCTGGCGGAGATTGGGAGGCCGTAGAGGCACTGGTTATTATTAGCATATTATTGGTTTTCCTATGGCCTTTCAAGCTCAAGATTGGGTTGTTGCACACCTCGTCTAACTTGCCTTCCTTCACAAGATCTAGTGCTCCTCGGATCTCGCTTATTGTCGAAGCGACAATCTGGCGGTGCTCGCCATCACCGAGCATCATGCGCGTAACTTCGGTGCACTACAAGGTCAATACAATTAGTATACACTAATATGCTTTCAATTGATAAAACAACGTACCTTGAGAGTCTTCACATGAGGCCGGAAGGTAATCCCGAGCCGTTTGACATCATCCAGTAGGATTTGGGTGTTCCGCTCTAGGACGGGCTTGCTGAGGATCAGGGAGGGAGTTGGAAGCTCGGAGACCGGACGGCCGATGTATGAAGCGTGGTTCTGCAAGGAGTAATCCATTGTGACGGGGGCACGTTGTAGAAACTACAGGGGTCGCAATTGCGCCTACCGGGTTTATATCTGGAGCCGTGGTGGGGTTGATAACGGGCGTGGGGGTATGGGGGTTTCTGCGGGGGCATGGGGGGATGGTTGCAATGGAGGAATTGATGGGTTACAATTAGCAAATGTTGCATCTTTTTTGGGGTTTTGTTCGTTGGTTGATGTGCGTAGTGTGGGATGGGGGTTTCGATCTACAGGCGCTAGGTTGATATTGAAGGATGTGTTAAAGCATGATTTTAACATAAAGATATGGAAGAACAGTTCACAAACCCCATTACAAGGCTTTCAAACACAATTCAGGGATATCATATAGCCTCGATATAGTTCTACTGGGCCTGAGCTGTCAGGAACGCATACGGCAAATGATCAGCGCACTCCAAGCACTATCTTAACTGTTTGTTTCGGTAACCGTTGAGAACTACACATCTTCACCTCCTCCATACCAAAGGCGGCCTCTCCGAATAACTAAACCCTGGTCCTGGCCAACAACCCATTCACCCATTTCGGGCACAGTGCCATCAGGCTGGGGCCAATACATGCGTTCCAGCCTCTTATTGATATCACCAATCCGATCAACTAGCAACTGTACGCACGAATGATCAAGCTGGCCAGCAACCTGGAATCCCTCCTGAGTGATGAAGCGTGCTATAGTGATATGTGCCGATGGAACAATATAGCGCGAAGCAACGGGGATACCAGTTTTTCGAACCATGTCAAAAATATCCCGACGGAGATGATGGTATGTGTAGTGATCATCATGACCGCCGGATCGTTCAGTCGAGGGTTCCGCTGCGGCTGGAGCAAAACTAAGCGCCATTGCGGAAGAGTCGAAGCTCACCATAGGCTTCAAAAGGCGTGATTGGTGAGTGATTGGGTGTTCTGCAATCTGTGCCCGGGTGATTGCTGTGGAAGACTTGAGGGTTTGGACAAGATCCTCGATTTGCGCTTCAGTCAAAGAATGGGCTACTTCCAAGACTGTTGTATGCAGGTTTTCAGTGGGCATGAGCCAAAGGGCTGTTAAATCGCGTGAGTGCATTGATCTTGTAATGAATTTGCGCAAAACTTACACGGGGCAACATCCTTCAATTCCTTTTGAACAAAGGATATCAGATCCCTGATATTAGGAGGGGGTCTGGCCCAAATGACAAGGCAATTGCGAGGATCGAGGAACCCTTCCTCTTTCGTAGGGCCGTCGAGTCTCATGAGAATCTTATCCAAAGTCCAGCCGTGGAAGTCTTCCGCTAGAATCCTCGTCCTCTGTTGCTCATTACGAGCCGTTCGGTGCTTCTCATAGCGCAATTGCAATTGAGTCTTGGGGGAAATGGCGTTAGATCTTATCATGCTGCACGGAAATTCCTTTTCCAACCCCTGAAATCAGTTCACTTACTGGATCATCATTTGACTCCGCGATCAAAACCTGGAAAGGATTGTCTTCCGATATGGTTAAAGACATGACCACTGATGGTCAATTTTGAGTATGCCTTGAACCAAAACGTTCCAATGAGGCAACTGATATACTTCTTGCGCCAAGGCTATTTTCCCGTCCCCGGGTAAATAACGTGACTCATGTTTCAGAACGGCCACCTTTTCCCTGATAGGAGTATCTGAGCATCTTTCAACTCCGGGGAATCTAAATATGTCTCTAAATGCCCCCGCTCTCACGAGACTGGGAGGGCGCAGTCGCCGCGTCAGCTGCAACGGCTTTATATAATAGATGTAGCGATGCGCAGGTACAATAGGAAAGTACAAGCGAGAATGATATATATTGAGCTCCTGTGGATATCGACAACGGCAGCATGGTGCTCTGGCTGACTAAAAACGGTGGTGGCGCATACAATATGCTCTTATGTCCATTAATGCAAAACTTAACTGAAGAAAGGGAGAAAGTATTATATGATGCTTATGATGCCCAACCTGTAACAATATTAGCCGATCATCTCATTACAGAATAAAAATGCTCAGTCACTAAGCGATGGTGAATGTGAGGCCTAGAACGGCATCAAAAGCAGCCGCTTCTAGCCCATTCACAAACTGATAGTTATAAGGAGTTTTTGTTAATAACCCTAAGCTTTTGGAAGGCTCTCTTATGCTTATTTAGTTATAGGCCACCATAATACCAACTAGTAGCTGTACGCACGAACGATCAACCTGGCAGCACTCTGGAATCCTTTATAGTTAAGTAAAAGCGCCGAGGATTGCGCCACTTTATTTAAAGCAAATCATATGGTGTGTGGTACTCACCTGTGCTTGAATCGATTAAAAAAATAAAATACCACTATCCGGGGAGTAGAACGGTATACAAATGTCAAAACTCGAACGGTGGGGCAAAACTTCCCATCGTAGCGTGAATATGACCGATTGGATTTGAATCTTGACTGCATAGGGGAACGGCAGTAATGAAGCTCCAGCATCCCTAACTAAAGCCGCGGAACCAATAACATGCCATATCCAAGTCCATGTCTACGTTTTCGAGGGCGACCTTGCAGCTTCTTGCAGTCGCGGGGATCTGCAAGCCATAAGTCCGTATAGACTATGACCCGTGTTTAATTAGTGGACTCTGATTTGACCACACTCTATCATATTCACTACGCCCCCAGAATTGGTGATTATATCTATAAGTTTTACCTTCAACCCTAGATCCAGAACCCACTCCAATCCTCTCTCGTGGTAGGATCTAGCCCAATATTCAAAATGAATACATTCGGACCTCACCCCCAGCCAAAACAATTCGTGCTCTGTTTTGATGGCACAGGAAACAAGTTCGCTGGTGATGCATCCGACACGAATCTCGTCAAGATTTATCGCGTGAGTGGTCCATCTTACATTTTACCCAAGCATCTACCTCAGAGCCCTAATCCCGTCACAAATACAGATGTTAGACAGAAGCCGAAGCCATCAATACCACTACTACCAACCAGGAATCGGAACATACGTAACAAGCAACTCCTTCGGCGGAAAAAGCAGAATCGAACGATTAAAGTCCTCCTACAAAAAAGCCAAAGATGCAGCCTTGGGTTCCTCATTCGACGAACACGTCTTAGGCGGATACAAATTCCTAATGCGATACTACGCCCCAGGCGACAAAATCTACTTTTTCGGATTCAGCCGAGGCTCGTACACCGCACGCTTCCTAGCAGAGATGCTAGACTTCGTCGGCCTCCTGCAACCAGGAAACGAAGAAATGATCCGGTTTGCGTGGAAGACATTTGCAAAGTGGCAGCAGCGACGGGATACGACGGAGCATGACCATGAAGAGAGACACCGACTGTTTACATTTATGAAAGCCTTCCGGGAAACGTTTAGTCGGCCTGTTGGTCGGATTCGATTCTTGGGGTTGTTTGATACGGTGAATAGTGTGCCTGTTTTTGAGAATGCCTGGATGGAGAGGAGTAAGTTTCCGTATACGGCGCAGAGCTCGGCGAGGGTAATTCGGCATGCTGTTTCTATTGATGAGCGGCGGGCCAAGTTTCGGCAGGATTTGCTTTACGAGATTAGACCTTCGGTGCGGAAGCCGAGGCATTCGCTTGGTTTAAGACATCTTTTGTCTCATGAGGAGGGGAGTGAGAAGCTTGATGTTCCTGAGATTGTGTTGGACGGTCCCGAGAATGAGAAGGAGACGTCACGGATTCCGAGACGTGGGTCTATGAGGGTTCTTAACGAGGGACAGAGATACCGTGGACATACTCCTTCGCCTAATAGGCATGTCAGTATCGAAGGGTCGAGGACTAGAAACTTGCTCGGTGACGGAGTTTCAATGAGAAGTGGTGTCTCCGGCCTCTCTCTTCAACCTTCACATCTGGATGTACCAAGCGAGACCGGCGACGATGACAACGAACAGGATGTGGCAGAGGTGTGGTTTCCAGGACAACATGGTGATGTGGGAGGTGGCTGGGTCCTCAATCCAAAAGATCCGTGGCCTCTCAGTCATATCCCACTGGCATGGATGGTCAAGGAGGCACAGCTAGCAGGGCTTGAGTTTGATCCTGAAAAGCTCGAACGATTCAATTGCCGTGAAGAGGCTTTCGAACCACCGCAAGCTTCAGATGAAACAAAACCAAATATGTATCGTGACGTAGTCCAACAAACAATGGACCAAGGCATCGTGCATGACACTCTCACATATGGCGGTGGTGTATCATCATTGTCAACATTTTCATGGCGTTTGATGGAATATCTGCCTTTCCGAAGGATGGACCTACAACCCGATGGATCGTGGAAGCCAATTCGCTGGCCTCTCCCTTGTGGAGAGGTACGTGATATCCCTGAAGATGCCCAGATACATATATCTGCTATACATCGGATGGCAATTGATCCAACATATCGACCTGGGAATCTCATCATCGGTGGTGGTGGAAGGGGTGTCAAACGGGCACCTTCAAAGTACGGAATTGGTGATTGGCAAGTTTGTAAGCATGAGGGTGATTTGATTAGACAGACTTATGTTCGAAAGATCGGAGATCTTTGTCAGGATGATCATTCCTAACAATGTTATGCAGGCACGGGTCGAAATATATTGATCAAATCATTTGTTTTTTTTTTCCTTAGCTTTTCTAATTTAGACATGAGATGTCAGGGCTACTCGTTCAACGGACTGACAAAGGAAATATGCTTGACAAAGGAAATCCGTAACCAAAACACGCTAAGAATGAGATAGAAATACCTCCCGACTCCGCAGATGCAAACTCTAAGAATGTGAAAATGACGATAAAAATGCCAATGTGGACTCCAAAGATGCGGTAGTGGGTAATCAAAAATGAAACATGCACGCTGGAGAAAGTCAGAATAACTCAGATTCCCTCGCCACGGAGTAGGCGCCGAAGGATTCCCTCCCCAGGTCCGACGATCTGGCTCTCGATTTCCTGCTGGGAGACGAAGCAGACAAGACCTTGTTCGTCCAGCGCCTTGTGGGGTGTTGATGGTGCGTGGCCTGACTTTGAGGGCGTACGACGGATATCTGTGCCACCTGCCACAGTTCCACCGCGGCCGCGGCCCTGGTACTCACCAACTAAGCCCATGGTTTCCAAGTTGCTGAGAACGTCCTTGAATTCGGTGGCAGTCAAGGGGTGGAGGATGTTGTCGTTGCGGCACAAGGTGCAATACGTGTCGAAGGCTTGTTTCACAGTAGGTGCTGAGGATCGTGACTTAGAAGGTGTGCTTGGGACTTCAAATTGACGACGTTTCCGTTCAAGTGCAATCAAAGAGCAAACTGCAGCCTTTTGCTGGAGATTCAGACTTTGAAGTCTTTGAACGGTACCTTGACCGAAGGCTGCGGATGTAATTCGGGCAATGTGTGCAATACTGGCTCGGGGCGCCGTAATGACAGTGTAGCTTGACATCGATGTTGGCTTGGAAGCAGCACCTCCTTTGACAGGCGAAGAAAGGTTGGTATTCTCCGCCAGGATCGACACATTCTCGGACTCCTTGGCTTGCTTCTCTAGTTTTTGCACAGTCTCCTGTTCGATAACATCAATCGCTCGTTTGATAAGCTCAAATGCCTTGCGCAGGTCACCAGTCTGCGAGGCGACCTTTTTTGAACAAAGCTGGATGGCAGCTGGTTGAACAAAGGGGACGAGCTTCGGGTCGGACTCTGTCCCAGGAGGGAGCAACGATCGAAGACGATTGGTCATGACATTTGCGATAGATGTCGCGCTGTACGGCAAGAACGGTAGCAAACGGGGCTTCAGGTTCTTAGCCTTGAGTTGTGGAAGCGAGCGGTCAGTCAAGTCCAGTGCGTTGGCTATACCGATGAGCATCAGCTTGGAATTGTTTTGCAAGGACCACTCGAACAGAGACTGTAACACCCCAGAATCGCCATTGAGTAGGTGATCAATCTCATCCAGGGTGACCAAGAACATATCCTGTCCTTTCTTGGACGGAATGAACATGGACTTCAAACGATCCGCCTCGCTCTTCTTGAACACGTCTGTATCCTCGCAAAAATCTTGGATGAGTTTGCTGTAGACATCTCGAGACACTCGCATGCTTGCGCAGTTGACATGCGACACTCTCACTTTGGACAGATCGAGGTCTGCGCATACTTCCTGGACCATGGCACTCTTTCCAGTCCCTGGGGGGCCACTGACGTAAAGACAGCCTCCATTGCGCGACTCCACTCCTTCTGTAATGAAAGAAACCAATTTCTCTCGCTCTGCGTCTCGTCCCACTAAGCGACCGGATGTAGCACCACGAGCGAACAACTGTCTTGCTTGAGAGTACACCGTTTGCTGAGTGATCGTTGGAGTAGCACTTTGTCGTGGGGTCGGCGGAAGATCCGCATGGCGGGGGGTCCTTGGTGTTAAAGCCTTTGCGCCCACCTGGACCCGATGTCTAGGCGTGACCGGAGAATGTGGTAGGGCATCCCGGAATCGTGATTTCGAAGGTGTCTTGAATTCGGCGGGCTTTGTAGGTTCTTCTGTACATAAAAATCAGCCACCATTCACAATGCCATGTCTT